ATCTGCCAAATTTCATTTCTTTGTATACCTTTTGGATTACTCCCTGCAGGTAATGGAGTTTGGTTATAGATGGAACAAGTAGGACATTTTTTCACAATATCCTTAGCCTGTTGCCCAGTGATGGAGAAATCCTTCTTCAAACCTTTGCTATTTATAAGAGGAAATCCATACCCAACACTGCTAAAGTGGTGAAGAACCTAAGACTAGATAGGTCATGATCCCTAGAGGAAAACCTACTGCTATTAATTCTACTAAAGGACACAGCAATAAAGTGGCTCCTAATGACATATTGCTATTCTCATAGATTAGAGCATCACTCAGCCCTCACCAGGGAAGCTTCTTCTTGCACTAGAATATGTGTATTAAAATAATTTTGTCAAATGTTTTTTCTGGTCTCACTGAAATGGCCAGGTTATTCTGGTATAGTATGTTAATATTGTATATTATCTTTAGGTATTTTTAATTTTTCAAGTGTCAAACCAATTTCTAAAAAAAAAAATCCCACTAAATTATGGTCTATAGGATAATCCCACTTAATTGTGTCTTATAATCTTGCTTGAATGTGCTGGAGTTAGTTTTGCTGAGGCAGTTCTGTGAAAGATTTTTACATATGTTAGGGATTTGGGCCTATTATAGCTTTCTTTCTTTATTTTTATGTATACAGTATGCCTGTGTGTCAGAAGAGGGCACTAGATCTCACTATTGATGGTTGTGAGTCATCATGTGGTTACTGGGAATTGAACTCAGGGTCTCTGGAAGAGCAGCCAGTGCTCTTAACCTGTGAGCCATCTCTCCAGCCCTTTTATTTCTCTTACTGTGCTTGGTTTGGACAAAAGAGCAAGACTGACTTCATAGGAAAATTTACATGTGATTCTTTCTCTTTTTTTATGTATATGGGTACATGTGAGATATGTGTGTGTTCATGAGTGTGTGTGTGTGTGTGTGTGTGTGTGTGTGTGTGTGTGTGTGTGTGTACATGTGCACATAAGCGTCAGGAGGCCAGGGATTGAAGTTGAGTGTCTTCCTTCATTACTCTCCTCCTTACTTTTTGATACAAGAGTCTCTCTATTACCTGAAATTCACGAATTCTGGCTGGGCAGCGAGCCCCAAGGATCCTTCCATTTCTTCTCCCTGGCACTGGGACTACAAGTGTATACCACCACACTCAGCTTTGTTTGGTTTGCCTTGGTTTTTCAGGTGGGTGCTGGGGGTCAAATCAGGTTTATATGCTGTCAAGGTAAGCACATTACCCACCAAGCCCTGTCCCCAGCCTTCAGTGTCTTCAGAATTTATAAAAGTGAACTTCTTCTTTATAAATTTATATTTTAAGGGAATTCTAAGTTTTTTTTTCCAAAGTGATTGTAATGCTGTGTTTCCCCTCGGCTGTGTTTGAAAGTTCAGCTTCCTGTGCATTCTTAGTGCATTTCATTACAATTTTATCATCATCCATTTAGTTGGTATGTAAAGAGAACTGTCATCATCATCTACATCTTCCTACTAGTTTATGATGATGGTAAGTGTTTCCCATGTATTTTTGCTGCATGTTTTGATTAGTGTAATCTCCAAATCTTTTAAAAATTAAAGTATTGTTTTCTTTTTATTGAGTTGTAAGAGTTCTCTATATGTTCTGAATGCAGGCAGTTTATCAATACCCGATATGAAAACACACACACACACACACACATACACACACACAATTGCTTACCTTGTCATTTTCCTAATGTTGTCTTTTGAAAGGGAAAAAGTTTTAGTTCTGATGAAGGCAATTCAATTTTTTTTCACTGATGGAATGTTTAGGGTATTATATCGAAAAGCTGTTCACACAATCCAAAGTTATGTTAATATTTCTTGTCTTCTTCTGTAAGATTTATAATTTTAGCTTTCGTGTGTAGGTGTATTATCTATTTTGAGTGCTAGTGCATGAATGTGTTTGTGTCCTGTGGAGCTCATGTTGAAATAGAATTCTAGTTATTAAATACTGAGATACAACTGGGAAGGTGTAGCTGTGGCTTTTCCTTCATGATTGGATTGATTTACTCATGTGGTTAATGAGTTAATGAATTAAGAGGTTAATGAATTATATCAAGGGTGAGTCAGCTACAAGGGTCAGTTTGGCCAGCTCTTTTGGCTAGTCTTACATCTTCTTTTTCTCTTGAATCCTCAGGACTCTGCCAGGAAGAAGACCATCACCCCATGCAGTTTCTCAACCTTGGACCAGAGCTAAGTGTCAAAATAAACAAACAAACTGGACCTACCTGATGGTGATAGAACACCCGAGACAATGAATGTATGTCCTTTGTGAAGACACTTGAATATTCTCTAAGCTAGATCATGTGACCATCATAAAACAGCTCTCAATTCACTGGGACAGAAAGTCAATTATATAATAATAATAATAATAATAATAATAATAATAATAATAATAATATACAGATATAATAATATATAATGTATTGGGCATTCACAGTAGCAGGGTGCAAAGTAGCAGCTTTCACTGTATCATTTCCACACACTGATCCCCTCCCCCCTCCTCTCTCCCATTTCCTCCCCACCACTCATTCCCTTCCACACCCAATAATTCCCTTTCCACTTTCATTTCTTTTCTGTTACTTTCCCCATCCCCTTCTTAAAACCCCTTCCCCCTTCCACCTTCCCCTTTCTTGTTTATGACCTGTCCCCACACCTACTACCACATAAACAGACAAATATAGAAATTAGAAGCTAGGTTCTACAAATCAGAAAGAACATCAGCATTCCACTTTCTGCATCAGGGTTACTTTGCTTAAAATAGTTTCCACATTCATCGATTGTCCTGAAAATTTCATAATTCCATTTTTCCTTTTGGCTGAAGGAAGTTCCGTTGTGTCTGTGTAGCACCTTTCCAGGATTCACTCATCTCTTGATGAGCCTCTGATTCCACTCTCTTGCTTTGTGAATAGAAGAGTAATAATCATGATGTGCAACTCTCTGTGGTGGGATGGAGATCCTTTGGGTGTGTCCCCGGAAGTGACATAGCTGGATAAAGCTGGGTCATCTGGTCATTCTATTTGTATTCTTTTGAGAATAGTCCACATTTATTGTCATTTGTTTTCTGTTTTCTTTATTTTTTTTTTGAGTAACAAAAGATTGTATTCAAAAGCAAAGATGAAAATACAAAAGACGCTGCAAGAGGGAGCCTGGGATCTGAGTGAGGTTTGCTCAGGAGCCTGGGTTACTGTGTGGAGCTTCGGTGATGGGTCCAAGAGGAACTGAAGCTGCTTTCTAAGGGGTGAGAGAAGGTGATTTCCTGTTTTGATTGACAGGCTTGAGTTATGGAATGGCTTGTTCACTGGGCATGTCCTTTCTCATGGTATATCTGGTTTTTTCCAACAATATTTTTAATGATTATTTGGGAATTTCACATAATGCAGCCTGATCACAATCACTTCTGAGTTTTCCTACATCTACACGCCTTCGTCCTTATGAACTCCTCACAAAAAGAGAAGAAGAAAAGAAAAAATGCCAAGTCCAGTTTGTGATGCCCATATGCTCACTGGAGTGTGATCAAGCTCTCAGTGTCCAGGCCCTTAAAGAAACAGTCCTTCCCCATCCCACCCCTGCCAGAAGCCATCAACTGTGAAAAGCTACATATTAGCATCCTTATCCCAATGTTAAGGGTTCTCTTCAATGGCTTCCTGTCTATATTGTTTCTTGGGGGGGGGGGGCGGCATGTGCGGGGAGAGGTTGTCACAGACCATTCTATGTCTCTCATTCTCAACTGTGAGTCTGCACTCATCAACACCACTGCAAAAGATGCTGCCTTGCCCTTTACAATTACAGGCAGCACAGATCATGGATTTCCACATGGTTTCTGGTGACATCATGGACTGTGGACATCCATAAGGCCTCCAACAGCAGAACAGATTACAGACCTCAGCATGGTCTCCAGTGACAGCACAGACCACGAACATCAACACAGCCCTCAGCTGAAGCACAGACCACCAACATTATCCTGGCCCCTGGCAGCAGCACGAGCCCACGGACATCAGCATGGCCTCTGGCATCAACACAAGCCATGGAAACCAGCATGCCCCCCAGTGGCAGCATGGCTCAAGGGCATCAACATGACTTTAGGCCTCAGCACAGACCGTGGACATCAACATGGCCTTTGGTGGTACCAGGGACCATCAACATGGCCTCTAGCAGGAGCACAGACCACGGATATCCACCTGGCCTCTGGCTGCAATATGGATCACAGAACTCAACATGGCTTCCAGCAGCATCGAAGACCATGGACATCAATGGCCCTTGGCTGCAGCATGGACCACAGACACCATCATAGCCCTTGGTGGTAGTACATCTAATTTTAATCATATGCAATCACAATTTTGCATAGGCGTAGGAGAGTAAATAGAGATTTTCCCTAAAATTTTACACAGAGAATACAGTTTGCCTTACTGTGAACATTCTCAGAAACAGTCCAGGCTGCAAATTGTCCCTTGCCCCCAGTTCCTGGATATGTTCCAGGATATATTTAACCACAAAGGGGAGTGACTAGGGTTCTAAGGAGTTTCAGGTTAGAGTGACCATATGCCTTTAGTGATAGGAGAGGTGCTTTCACAGAGAGAGAGAGAGAGAGAGAGAGAGAGAGAGAGAGAGAGAGAGAGAGAGAGAGAGTGAAAATAAGGAAAGGAAGATGGTTCAATGGTTACAAGCCTTGCTGATCTTGCAGAGGACCTCACTTCAGTTTCCAGCACTCACTTGGCAGGTCACAACCATCCAAAACTTCTGTGCCAGGGGAACTGATGCCCTCTTCTGACTTGCATAATCATTGAGCACACACAGTACACATACATACATGCAGACAAAAAAAAAAAAAAAAAAAAAAAAAAAAAAACACCAAAACCCAGGGAAGCATGGTTGAACAAGTTAGGTAGGTTCTCTGAAGCCTCACATAAAGCATGGAGCAATCAGGGCTCAGGCCTGTTTTGCAGTTTTTGTTGGAGATTTGTGCAAGTTTACTAGTCCTTCACTTCCCCCTCCAGTGGCCTCCTACACCTTGTTCATTTCTGTAGATAAGTCCATGCCTTTACAATAGAGCCTGAGGCTCAGGTCATGCCCCACAGTGTTAGGAGCTGTACGGAATCACCCTTTTCACAGAGAACAGTTTCATTGTGGTGCTTGCTTTCTGTACTTAACACAATAACAAATGTTTGTTCACATCTTTGAAGATTTAAGCAGTCTTTCTTTCATGAGTATTCCAAATAAATTGTGACTGCCATTTTTAAGATCAAATCAACATCTGCCTTGTTTTTTTTCCAGCAGCTTCTCATCCCCCCACCACCACCCCCACCCCACCACCCCTGAGAGATTGGTAATGTTTTTTTCTGTTTGTGTTCTCCACAGGACATCGTTCAGTTGCGTGGTCTTCATCACATGAAGACTTGAATGAGTGATGGTCCTGAAATGCCTTGAAGATTAGCATATGCATATTTTGCCTCATCAACATACCATGCATCACTGAGGAGCGCCAAACATCATGGGTAATGTGACATGATGGACGTGGGATGTGATGGACACAGAAGCTGGGAGAAAGTCAACGAGTCAACACTGGTTCTTGAGGAGCCAATGTTAGTTCTTCAAGGATTTGATGCAGCCAAGTACTGTTCTCATGTAAAGAAAACACTGGGCCTTCCTTCAGCACACTGGTCAGTCTAAGTTCACCAAACCTACATCTTGCTCTACTTGCCCAAATCTTTGAGCTGCTGATGCAACTGTTTTATTGTAGACAACCTCTCTCCAGCTTGTCACTGGACCATGCTTGGTCTAGCTACTGTTCATCACCAGAACCAGAGTGCTCATGGTATCCTTCAAAATGGCATGTTTCCTAGTTCTCTCAGGGATCTGGGACCATCCAGATCTTCATAGCATTCTCACCAGAAATAATTTGACAAAGATTAGTGGCCAGAAAAAGATGTGCTTTTTACACCAAGAAAAACATAGGTTATCATTAAATAGTATACATTTTTATTCTCTTGATAGTGGCCACACAACCAGCATTGACCAGTTCACTTTGTTGTCAACCAATACTTGAATCTAGCCTTGAACTTGAATTCTTTCAGTGATTTAATAGCTTTCAAGATCTCAAAATTCATTATTTTAATCTCATCTGTCAAATCAATAGCTGGAGCAAGCACATCATTTCAACCCAATGCATCCTCCTAGAGACAAGGTTGTAAAGATACTCCATGACAATGATAAGCAGGCAGGAATGCAATCATATCTGAATTTCTGTGTATGTAGTAGAATATATCAAAATTTGGTGGGTAGGAAAAGAAGGAAATGGGGTTTAAATTAAAGCAATGTTTTATATTTTTAAGCCTATCTTGAAAATAAGAGAAATTTGGAAGGAACTGTGGTGTTTAAGAATATGATTCCTGCTGTATTTATGCCCAATTTTTATTTTTAAATGTTTGGTTTTACAATATGTTCAATTATATATAGTTTTTTTTTTAAGCTTTGGAAGTATATGAAAAACTAAAATGCAAAATTCCAGCAAGGTCTAGAGACTTAAACAAGTGTGTATATTTATCACTGATTGAGATGAACCAGAGCAAACCTGATATCCTTACCTAAGTACTGTTCCCATGGAAACAGGGGACAGACCCTTCAACCCCAAGTAAGGACAAGTGACAAGTTATTCTGTATAGGTTTTGTTTCTTCTGTTCTCCATCTGAAGACAAAGTTGATGAAGGAGATTGATTTCTGGTTGTTTTGAGACAGGGTTTCTCTGTGTAGTCCTAGCTGTTCTGAAACTCACTTTGTAGACCAGTCTGGCTTTGAACTCAATCCACCTGCCTGTGCCTCCTGAGTGCTGGGATTAAAGATGTGTACCAGCATGCCTGGATTAGAAACTTCTTTTAATAATGTGAAATGATGTTTATTTAGAATAATTCAAATTGTTAAGCCCATATTAAAAATGAAGATGCATTAAATTTTTTACTATGGGATTTTTTACTGAGGAAAAAATAGATGGATTTTCCAATTTTGAAAAAAAAAAAAGCTAAGTAAATTAGCCAAATTGAGGATCTGATCGCCAGTCTCATTAATTCAAATTTATGCTTTTACTTAAGATTTTAATTTAGAACTTTTATAGATATTAATCTTCAAAGCACCCTGGAGATGTGAATACAGGTTACTAATATTTGTCTTTAGACTCTCAGTCACAAATGTTCAATAAGGGTCTAGGGTGCAGAAGAAGGGAGAAAAATTTCTATTTCCTTAAAGTGCTTTTAGGGTGCAAAGACCCAGAGATTCCACTAGTATGATGTTCAAAAATATGTGTTACAATGTGTGCTTTAAAATGTGTGTTAAGGCCGGGCGGTGGTGGCGCACGCCTTTAATCCCAGCACTCGGGAGGCAGAGGCAGGCGGATCTCTGTGAGTTCGAGGCCA